AGACGGATAAAAAAGTTCATTAACAAAAGCCTCATCTTTGTATAATTTGCAAATAGGTCTAAGGATCGATTTAACTAATGTTATATATGTATAGCACATTTATTTTCTATAATCGAGAAATATTAGCTTACAACTTATGGAGTATGTAACTAGGATATTTATTAGGGAAAATAAACAGAAGATAGCTTGTTCGGTTCGTTGTCGCATTATCACATCTTAGGTGCAACCGTGAAGAATCTTCACGATCAAAAATCTCAGGCCAAAATTCGGAACTAAGTAATTTTTTTGACAGCGGATTTGATCTTTAATATGAAATCCGTGACATTTTGTCACGTGTAAAAAAGCTTTATAATGCAAAAATGATGGACTTTGCCCGTCCGTGATACATGATATGATATGATGAATGTTATTCGCAGGCTTAATTTTTAACATATGACATTAGCCCTGTATTGATTGAGCCGCAGAAACTATCAGATCGATTTTTATAAATAGACATTATCTAAAAAATATTGTGCTATAATTGGTTACATTTTATTTGGTCGATTACAAGCTTTTGAATGTGGGAAATTGACAAAAATGGTAAACATGATTGTTGGTTATAGTCGCAAAAAGTATTGCTAAACGTAATAATAAATATATCCTATAATTTCCACACACACCACACACACACACTCTCTTTCTCTCTCTCTAAAATTTCGTTATAAATCTTTTAAAAGTCACAAAAAGTGTATTAGAAAATTAAAGTGAAATCTGAAATCTAATTTCTTCAAACTACTCTTCTCTTCCTTCCCTTCAACAAAATTGCCAAAAACCTCACCTAAATCATGACTTCTTACGCAATAGGCAGAGCGTTAGAACGAAATATCGTTGAAGAATTAATACATGAACCAGAGTGGACAGGGTGAGTATCTCTCGCAAAGTTATTTGAGTCGTGAAGTACGCTGCCACTTGGTGTGGTCACAGTTTCGGCTGTAAGTGTTCTGATATCCCTGCACTGGCTTACTCGCCTGAGGGATTCATCGTGAATAGGAAACACAAATCACGAATCGAAAGTACATACGCGACTGTGAACGCGCCACTTGATTTTTGAATGACACAAATGCTTAATATATTTTTATTTTTATTCATTATTTTTAATACAGAGGTCCCAACGACGGGGAAATAAGGTAGACGTAGATGGTACTAACTTTGTTATACAAAGCAAAAATTGGAGAAAGTCTATATGTATGTATTAAATTAATCGACTATGTTTATTTAGTTTGAGTATGAATTAATCAATTATAGTTCCCGGAGTAGTGATGGGGTGCTTGTTCGGCGTGATAGTGGCCCCCGAAATGAATCGACACACAACCGGTACTAAGGAGACGGCAAGGACGTCACCTTTTACAATAAGTTTAACAACCCGTGCGAATTTAATTCGTGATTTGAAGTAGCTGCCGCTGGTCGGTGGCGAAAGTCGCTTATGATATGATAAAGATCCGAACAAATTTATTATTTTTTTATTTTTAATATGTATTTTTATGATGATGTATTATATAACATTAGTATTAGTATTAATTATAATTCATTTTTAATAAAAGAATCGATACACATCTTTTTATTCGCTATTTATTAAATTTAAAATATACACATATACAGTGAAGTTCGAATTTCAGATGTATTCATTTCCTGTCCTATTATAAAGTTAAATTTCGAAAAATAAAATTCAAAACTATTTAAAAATCTTGATCAATTTACCTTAATTTTTCGAACAAACATATTCATAAGCTGCATAAATATGACATATTAATAAGGATTCCGGAAATTTTTCTAATGATTCATCTGTAATTTCAGCTGGCCATAAATTAAGCCCTTCGTCATTTATATAATAGCTTAATGGAAATTGATCATTACTAACATCCTTCAAAAATCTTAGCATAAATCTTTTTAATGCAAGTGCGAATACTTCTGCTGGTATACGTTCTTTTACTATTGAAGATCGTTCAAATTCAACTGCCGAATCAATTTCGTCCTTCACTTCTTCTGGAAGTTCAATTTTAAATTTATCATCAATATATTTTACCACGGAATTTGCAACCTGCTCTTCAATCAATTCATACAAATCTATCAAGTGTTTGAGACATAATCCGGTTTTTAACAAATTATTGAATGATTTGTATTTTAATAATTCAGACAATTTCATCCATTGATTAACATAATCACGAATTGTTGTCTCCTCACTTCCAACCGATGTACGTTTTACGAAACAGAGCAATATTTCTAATGAAGTAAGAAGTTCAGATGCGTTATCAAAAGATAATGAATAAACATTATGATATTCCTTGTGTGAAGTGCTAGTTGGTACCACGTCCATGATTAGAGAAATCTTATCAGATGGAATTTTCTGTTGACGAATTGAAGATTTGATGTCACCAAGAATTCTCATGTATCCTTGAAATAATTCCATATGATATGGGAAAGGTTCCATGTACGCTTGTGAATCATTCAAAGTGCTTATATGAACTTTTTCAAAAACTAATCCACGTGCGAGCTCCATCTCGATCTTTTGCAAATCATAAATGATATCCTGACCACGTCCAACTTCAAGATTACGATCACTATTTTGGAGTGTATTATCATCCCACGTGTAATTTATAAAACTGCTTTGTTTGGTTTGATCAATTCTAAGAGATTGAAGGAAATAACGAATAGGACGATCCATAGAATTAGCATCAAGTGTTCTTGAAGATGATGATGAAACGGTGTTTTCCGAAATATAATAAGGTTCTTCCATGAATTTAATTGCTCGAGTAGATCCTATAGGAATAGTCAATACTTCTTGTAAGAAGTTATTTTGTAATCCAATTAAATATTCCAAAATAGCGCAAAGATATACGCCTGAATCCTTTGGCTCGACTAAAGCAAGTACGATAGGAGATGCCAAATTGATATTCGGTTTAGGTTTTTGAAGCTCGTGACATTGAAATTGATCCACATCATCAATAACCGAATTCCAAGCATTAGCAAAATCATTGAAATTCGAATTTAAGAATTTAAATCTTTCTGCTGATTCTCTACCATTAGAATCTTCACTTATAAATTGTTCAAAAGTTTGTTCTCGTGCTTTTTCTCGACTCACGCGATATTCAAGACGCGATGATATAATTTGAACGAAATTCACTATCGGCCAAAGGTGCTTTATTTTGTCTAACTTATCATAATACCTAAAGAACACTGAAATAAATGGAAAACATGTTTCATGTTTCTCTATATCCGAATTGTAATAAGCACGAAACCCTTGAAAACTCGTTGTTCCTATAGATCTCCAAAGCCTTGGTAAACGTTCACGTATTAACCTCTCATCCATCGGTATAGTTTGATTAATTTCTTCCTCGATTATGCTCGAATTTCCTTGAAGTTTCGTGATTTTAACACGAAATTCAGCTGAAGTGTTTGTAACATTCTTAACTAGAGGCATTACATAGCCTTGCGTGAAATTTGTTTCCCATTCCTCACGATGCTTAGGATTCTTCAAGGTTGAATTTTTAGGTGGAATTAGAAACATTCTGTCAAGGATGGAATGTAATAAGAGGGCCAAATTCTCTTCAGAGCAATTCAAAATATTTAAAAGGATTCCCCAATCATTCCTAATATGTCCAATGCAATATTCCACGCTATCGTTTGCAATATTATTGTTTTTTTGTAAAAACGTAGTTGCAGTATTAGAAGGCGCCCAAGCTCCAATTATCGAATGGACAAACAAATGAAGAATTCTATATGAAGTAGGAGATAAACTGCGAAGAGAATGAGTAAAATTTCTATTTACTTCTTCCCCAATATACCCTTTTTCGTCTTTTGCGTTCATGGCTGTAGCAATTGGACTTGTGTCTAATCTCTCATTTCCGGCGGCAACGACGTGACGTTCACCACCAATAGAATTATGACACTCGGGACATGTACCTCGTCCATTCGCTTGTCCACAATCACCGATTAGATAAATAAAACCACATCTACATCTATATCTATTAAAAAAAATAAAATGAAAATAAAGTTTTTAGAACTATTCTTTATTTTATTTTATTTATTCTTTTAAAAAAAAAATGTGAGAAAATTTAAAAACTCCTTACCGCGTAAAATTACCGCTCCGCTGTAAGACAGCACTTAATATAATAGATTGTACATCTGATGGACAAGTGAGAATATACAATCCACAACAATCATTCAAATTTTGTAATAAGTATGCTAATGGTGATGACTCCGCTGAAATAGACGAATGCAATGCTATAACGTGCCCAATGACCGATTTAATTAATAGATCAGAGTTACTGACGTTCATATCAAGTTGTAATATAGAATTTTTGTTCGTGATTACTTTTTCAATAATTCTTATATAAATATTGGATAAAGTGCTTATGTTCTTAATCTTATCATTCAAAAAATTTGCTGCTTGATTCTCGTCATGATTCCATTTTCTTGTTGCTCTTATAACATGAAGTCGATTAAGGATACTTCCCATCAAAGAAATTCTGGCGCTCGTTTCTTCCTTCTTTAAAACTTTTTTAAAGAATTCGTTAAATCTTTCTACACTATTATACTCATAAAAAAGTATTCTAAAGCAACTTTCCACATCATTATAATCCTTAAAGGAATAGTAAACATTAAATTGTAATCGAGATTCCTGATTATTATCCCAAGGCAAAGTTTTCAGCCATGGTAAAATAGAACTTTGAGCCTGACAAAATTTTGTGACATCACCCATAGAATATTCCCTATTGCGTAAATCTCGTAGAAAATAAATTTTTAATGAATCAATTAATTTACAAGATAAGCACATACTTCCATTTACTTTGTCAAATAATTCAATAATTTCTCCATTAAAACCTTTGAAATTCAATTCAACCGGTCTCAACATGTTATTGTTATCCTGTATCAAGACATTCCAAAATTTGTGAACAAACTCTTTGAGGAAAGCAATCGCCGTTATTTTGCGTAACCCTTGAACAGATTTGGCATATAGAGCTTCAATAGCGCTATGGAAATAAGGGGATAATTCAATCAGATTACATCGTTCAAAGTATGGCCTCTGTATAACGTCGCAGAATAGTGCTGCTATTGAAGAGTGACAGCCTTTCTCTTCGATACAAGTATTTATCATTCCAAATAATGGTATATCTAACATCTTTTTAGGATTATTTAACCACGTGAAGAATTCGAAAGGCTTGTTTTTGCTTTCTTCTTCAAACATACTTTTAATGATTTGTCCCATAAGAGGGAAGGGATCTTCTAAAAATAAAGTATGATAAAATTCTAACTTGGAAGGTGAATCGAATGGGATAATCTCTAAACTCCTCATGATAAAAGATTGCTTTGCAAATAATATATTTTTTGATTCAATGCCTTTAAAGTTGGTAAGAATCTTAAAGATTCTGCGAATATACATTGATGAAAATATTTCTTCGTTTCCTTTAGTCTTGATCATTTTCTTAATGATCTTCAGTGGAATTGATTCGGTTGATAATAGATCATTGCAAATTCGTAACAATTGAAAAGATTCGGTCTTTTTAAAGTTGGAAAATTTTTCGCAGAGATTCAATACATTTCTAATTTCGAATTGTAATTCAACAATTTCTTTACCATTACCAAATTTTTTAAGCATTAAACTAGTAACTTCATCCACAATTTGTTGTTCTAAATTTTCTACATATGCTAGTTCATCATCATTAATAATAATCTCATTGAGGATCAAAGGACACTTGTGAATTAGTCGAAATGCTGCCAAAGTGGAACTAGCAGATTTCCACCAAAATACGTGTAAAAGAATAGGATTTGTGATATTCCCTTTACCAAGTTTACATTGGAATATGTATAATAGTACAGATATATTTTTATCTCTTTTCTCGTTGCTAATAATTACGTTAACAAAATCATTGAAATATAAGTCTGAAACATCTTCCAACGGAGAAGAATCCAAGAGATTTATGGACTTAAAGACTTTTTTGGAAAAATCTTGAATATAATCTTCATAAGTGTCGTGACTTAAATTTTTTGTATCTCGACATAATATTGACATTTCCTCTTCATATAGAGTCTTGAAACCATCAATCTGTTTCATAAAGTAATATGAAAATGGAAATTGTAATTCGAAAACATTAAAGGGCATTGTATATCTATCTGGCATTGGATCAGGCAATGAGTCGAAGTTGATCACATTATTATCCATAAACATATCTTTCCAGAATTTAAGAAGTTGTTCACTTTGTGGTGTCATTTGAGATTCTGGCACGTCATGAACCAGGAATGTTTTTGTAGCTCCTAAGCGTTCTAGGGAATATAAAATTTTTGCAAGAATATCACGAACTGTTGTACGGATATATGCTTGTAATGCTTTACCATACGAAGAATGTGGATATAATAATTTCTTGTCGGATGCGACTTGATATTGCCATTCTGATTTGTAATTTGTTTTTAACCACTCCAACGTTCTAATTTTTAAACAATTTACGAAATTTTTATGGTCTATTATACTTTTCCTCAAATATCTAGTTAAATAAGAATCAGATGACAAAAAAATTAAACATGAAGATCCTTAATGTAATCAACAAATTTAGAAGAAGCGATACTTACTTGACATGATTAATGGAATTAACATTGTCCGGATATTTCATACATAGCAAACACCATAATAATTCTTGCTTCAATATATCCTCAAACGGATAAGTTGTCTCAATTATATCACATAAATTGCGTTCTAGTAAATCAGATAGTGGTCTGTCTTGTTTTGTCAATGATTCGATTGTGATTTGTTTCCATCCACTCATAAAATTGAAAGAAGTTATATTTGCGTTATTTTCTCGATGAAGGTGAAGAATAATGCAAGCATGTTTAATTTTTCTAGACTCATTCTCTCGTTGTTTTTGTAAATGTTCACTCCGGCATTGTTCGATAATAAACTTTGCTAATTTGATACAATCTGCATTTACAATAGAGATATCACATTGCAATATTAAGAGTTCATGATTTTCATGATCTAGATCGAACCAAAACCTGCTCACTTGTTTTTGAAATTGAGATTCGGTTTTGAAAGTTGAAAGTTTCAGAACGTAACAACTTGTGATTCCATTTAAATTGGATGCAACATCTGCGTTAATGTTGGAAAATGTATTAATTATGACCAAATGACCATTGAAATTCACTATTTGTCCGCGCAACAAGTCTTGGAAAAAATCTGCTATATCATCATGATGCTGAACTTGGAAATAAACGTTTTTCAAATATTGAATTTCTTCAAAATCCAATGGAGATCTCTCGATTCGAACCATTCCATCTGTTGTAGCAATTGCTATTAAATTTTCCTTGCATTTTTCAAGTATTTCCTCATCGCTTATTCTAGGTTCTTTTTTCTTGGTATCAATGATTAAGCTTTGCAATGTTTCTTCTTCATTAAAGCCTATAAATAAATCCTCTATAGTAAAGTTGTGATAAGATGTTTCTGCTGTACTTGCAACAGTTGCCATTTGCCGCGTCCATTCTCTCAGTTGATTGACTAATTCTATTTCGTCTTTATTGAGGATATTATTTATTTCCATCCTTTGTTTTTCGAATCTATTTAAAAGGGGTGGATCTGCAGAAATTAACTTCTTTTCGTCGAGAACCAGAATGCATCTAAAATCAGGATGAATATGCCTTAAAAAAAAAAAAAAAGAAAGGAATTATTAATTAACATAACGTTTCGGATCACCATTGTAAATAGTAAATCTCATTCAAAGATTTATGCTTGGTCATAATACTTACAACATAGGATTTGCATAAGCTCCTAAGGCAACCCGAGTAAAATATTTAGGGTTATCGGAGCTACCCATTGTAATATAATTTTGATTCCACAAATCATAAAGACTCCCTATAAAATACATAAGCAATGCAAGTAATGTAATTGAATAATTATATTAAAACCTTATAACTAAAATATCTACATGAAAAAATTTGACAAATTATACCATAAATAATCTCTAAATCAGTCAAGATCAAAGGTCGTCCAGCTTCAACACACATCTAAGTAAACAGATAAATGAATAATAAACCGAAACAAATAAATAATAAATATAACTTTTAATGAAATATCTTACCATGATTTTACTCAATATATTATAAGAATAATCGTCATGATCTTCTGGAAATTGTGATCCGAATATTATAACTGGATCCAAGTTCCTTTCATGCAACTGATATGATAAAATATTTACAATAGAATCACTCTTCCCTATAACCATTAAATGTCTAGAATCTTTACATTCAAGATTCTCGTTAATTAGAGTATCGATAGGTATTGGATCATATGTCCAGCTTTTGTGATCATTGAGGATTTTAATAACAGGTTTGAAACATTTTAAGCAATTTTCAGTGTGTTTTTGAATACCACCAAAATTTCTAGCTAATGCTAAATAAATATTTTTTGGAGTTAACACTTTGTTTGAAAGGCTCTTGATAAGAGCATAATAATCACGTAGTCCATGAAAATTTGGAAAAACTTCTTGTCCACTTGTTTCATATTCCAAATATGCTTCTGCGAGAGGTTTAAGCGAAGATTCATTATGATCTATTTCGGAAGAATCTAATAAACGAGCTGCAGTTTCAACAAGATCATCTAAATCAAAATTTGGTCTTTGAACTAATAATGCTCTGCTATTTTTACTGTTGTCCAGACGCCAATTTGATATTCCAATCACTGAAACTGTAGGACCATCAGCTGGATAACTTGGCTCCAACAATGAGTGAAGAACTTTTAAAGGATTATAAGGACTGGTTTCGGCCAAACCAACTAAAAATTGTGAAGTTTAAAATTAAATCGTTTCCAAAATATTTATAAAATTCTTTAAAAAATACAATATTTGCATACCTTCATCAAGTAAAACAACGCTAATAACTGGAAACTCCTTGGAGCTTGTCTCCTGACAAGCTTTAGCTTTTTGAAAAACGTTTTCTATACCATCAGAAGTAGATGATGATGACCCTTGATGAGGAATAAAAAATACATTAGGTAATGTTCTAAAATATGTGTCATTTGAATCAGAACCTTTAAGATTCTGATGCACAAGTCTGATCGCAAGTGATTTTGAAGAGCCCGGAGAACCGACAATGAAGAGTGGTATTTTACACATTATACAAACGATAACAGCCAGTACGTTCTCCAATAATGCTTCGTTGAATGCAGTATTTGGTGGACAAGTCATTCTTTTCATATAGTCCATTTGTTCATCTCTTATTATTTCATTAAAATCGGATTCTTTCATATTACTGAATATTTTACATATCATTTCACGATATTTTCTTCTTAACTCGTGTTCATATAAGCGAGACTGATAACATAAACCTAATGCTAAAACATAAGATCGAATGACAATATCTGAAGAATAACCAAAATAATTTATTCTTTCACTTTGACGCGTTTGAAAACTTTTATAAAAAAAGTCAACCAATTTAATGGCTCTTTTAGCATCACGCAAACTGATACTATAATGCTCTTCGACATTACGAATAAATTCTTGTGATGCGAATAATAATTTCGCAAAGACAGGATTTAATTTCGCCTTTTGTACCATAATTTGAATATAAATCTTTTCATCTTTCGATTGAAGTGTACCATAATCCCAAACGTAATCTAAAATTTGATCCGGAAGGGGTTTAACTTCATAAACAAGAGTATTTCGTTGATTGAATATAATCTTTTTTGGTTTTAATCCAACTTTACTGACACCCTTCTTCCGAACACGATATGGATTGCAGGCGGCAAATAACCGAATATTTTGATGAATTTGTTTGCCATCAAACATTCGATGAGCAATAAGATCTGCCAATAATCCTATGTGATTGCAAGTGTTTATTTCATCAAAAAATAACCATATCTCACTAGTTTTGGCTTTTTTACCAGACTTTTTCATGAAATCTTTGATAGCTTGTTCTGTAATACCGGCATGAAGGTTAAGTGCGTCAAATTCGACTTCCACCATCTTAGCCAGGAAACTTATTAAGCTTGTCTATAAGGGGAAGTTTAAAAATTTATGAAACATATGCTGTCTTGTAAGAAAAAACAAATTGTTAAAAATAAGATATATACCTTTCCGCATCCTGCCTCTCCACATATAACTACCGGAATATTAGCTCGTGTTCTCAACAACATCAATGCCATTTTCAACACATTATCCGCCGTTAAAGCATATGGTTGATACTTAATTTCATACATCGTATGTCGAGCCAAGCGTTCCAAAATAAATAATAATTCTTCCGAAGGCATGGTTTGATAGTCTACGACTTTCCATCTTTGACTCTCCAGCAAACTTAAAACATTATTTGGAACTACTTTTTTGTCTCGATATAAAGTGCAAATCGATTCTGGGGATTGAGACATAAAAAGTACCAAAAGATGATTAGAATCATCCCATTGAACAAGGTTTTCTAATTGGTCTACTTCGTCTGTGGCTTTGTTTGAAATGGCTTGCAATTGTGCAGATTTTGTTTTGATTGATTTTGTAGCAAAATCATTTGAAACATCAAGTAGAATATTAAACAATGTTGATCGAATATTAAGATCTCTTGTCATAAATTTTAAATTGCTAACGGTGAAGAAAGGGCTTCCTGATAATCTTTTTAATTGGTCTGCAAGAAAATTTACAAAAATTTCTAAAAAGCGAAAAGATAAAATATTAGGGTCAATCTTGCTAAAGAAATATTTGTACAAAAGTTGTCGACAAGATTTCTGATCAATGCTTTTATCACATGGTCGGAAAAAGATATTTTCTTTGTCGAGCCTCTTCTTATCATAAAGATCCAAATAACGACAAACAACTTGAATTGGACTATGTATTATCTCGGAAACCTTCAAGTTATTAATATCCCATAATAAATGTGTATTTTTCAAACAATTAATAAATGGGAGGGATTCGAGTAAATGGTTATTAGCTATTTCAATAAAAATATTGGTATCTGGAAGACTTGTAACATATTCGTTGTTTGAAACAATTCCAAAAGTTAATAATTGAAACAAAAACATATTAACGTCTACAGGGTTATCAGTAGATATAATGTTTATATGAATATTATCATAAACCTGCTGAATATGAGAATTTTTAAGTTGCCTAATAAGTGAATTATAGCTAGCTCCATCATTAATGAGAAAAGGAACCAAGCTTTTGCCATTTTCAGAACTCATTTGCTTAATGAATTGTGTTTTTCCTTGTCCAGATAATGCTGATGTTACACACATAACCTTTTGACATAATTCGCGATAAATAGTCTTCATTGCTACGGCGCCAAGTCCATCAGTAGCGTGAACATTTTCAGAAAACTGGTCCAAGATATGATGATGCATGCCAGTTTCAGAACAGCATATCAACGCTAAAAAATAATTATCCACCCTTTCCATGAAAAACCTAATCCTATTTACGAGATAATATTGCAATTCGAAATCTAGTAATTCTAAATTCGCAATGCAGAATAAATGTCCTTGATAACCATTTTTTGATGCAAAAAAGCATCGTTTGATAAAAATTGAAAGTTCTTCTTCAGTAGTTGATGTCATACATATCAAAAGTTGCCAAGGCTCAGGATAAACTTCATGATTGACATAAAATGACATTATTATATTAGGAACTTTCGATTTATTGTTACAAGCTGCGACAAATAACTCTCCACGTTTTACCGTATCTGAAATTACGCGTTCTTTCCAATTTGGAACTGGTCGAACCGTCCGTGCATGTTTTTGGAGGGTTCCAAAAATTTTTTCTAATCGATCATTAATTTCTTTTAAAACTTGATCATATTTATCCTTTTGACAATTAAATTCTTGACCTTTTCGTAGCAATGATTTGGCTTTCCGATTGACAAATGACACTAGCGTTTGACAAGTTTCTGTTATTTCCACTTGCTCGCTCTTGATAGTGTAGTAATCATAAAATGCTAATACGTGTCTTGCCGGATAAAAATTTAGGTAATAACAATTTTCTTGTACTCGATTAACTATATCCTCCCTAAAAAAAATCATATATGAATTAGTATTAATAAAACAAACAGTTATCATCTCAAAAAAAAAAAAAAAAAAAAAAAAAAAAAATATTAAAAAATTAAAAATCAATTTTACCAGATCTCCAAATCATTCCTCAATATAATTGATATTTCCTCTAAATTATTAGTACCTTTAGCTGATTTAATATACTTTCGATATCCAAAATGACCCAATTGTGTCAATTTTTTCATTGCAATAATTATATTTTGCGCAATGTCCACCTGCTTTACAAATTCCTCCATTTTGCTAACAATGTCATCATCAATTTGTTCAAAAGAAACACCAGCCTTTGAAATTAAAAGTGCTCTGCTTCGTAAATCCTGTAACTCATTAATATTGTACCTCATGGCTTCTGATCTAGAGGTATATGTCAACGCTACATTGCAGACTTCATTATCTTTCATTTTAACAAATTCATAAGTACCAATATTCACGGCATTTTGAATCTTTTCCTTTGTAACTTCACCTTTGTTAAAGATGGATTCATACATATTTTTTAAAGCCATAATATTACTATTGCATAAAGATAATTTACTTGTTAAAGAAGGATTTTGGACGACATCATTTAGTTCTTTTAAGAATGTATCCAAAGTTAAGTTTGCATTATTTATAAATTGTTGTATGGACTGCTTAACTTGAATAAGCGAAGAAATGGTGCCTTCCTGGATCAATCGCGTATCTGAATGTTCATCGACGCTATTAATCAAATTTTTCAAATCGCCATCTGTTTTGTCATTTAGAAATTCTATAAATTCTTCGGAACGAGACAATTCTTTGATAAAAGCCCAACTATTATTATTGAATTTGGAAAAGTTTTTATCTATTGTACTAAAGGAGTTACTTAATTTGCCCAAATCTTCGTGATGAATCAGGCCTTTAAGCCAGTTTTCTTTGACATCAAAAATCTTGATAATCTTGGATAAATTTTCTATACGTTCTTCCCAATCCTTATTCCTGGAAAGAAATTCTATCGTTATCATGAATATTTTACTTTTACGTATTTTAATATTGCCATACTTTTCCATCAACCTAATCTCATTGTCAAAATTAGAAATATTACACCAAAATGGTATTTCCTCAGAATATTTGAGATCTTCCCAATTTTTATATTGCTTACACCTAGCAGTATATTCTCTTAAAACATATTTCATTAACCTTTGAGCTATATATTCAACATTTATTGTTTCGTCGTATTCACATTTATTTTTATATTCTTCATTTAAACGTTTTTCAAAAACGTTATAAAATATACGAGACTCGTTCAATCTATATGTACTCTCTGCTATTGATATAATTTCTTTATGGAAATTCCAATGATCTTCTGATAAGGCTTCTTTTAGTGAGATTGAACCCAACTTGTTACTTCGTTCTATTAATTCATCAAAATAATTTTGCGCACCCTTGGTTTTTTGTAACGGACAAAACCTCATATAAAAATCGCCCAGAATTTTTAATCTCTGTTCATATGAGTGACAATTCTGTCGAACTTTAACCAATGTTTCCTTAGTAATGATTTCTTCACTACTAAAATTTGCAGAATTTAAATAATAATTTAGGTCATCATCATTAAGATTAAGTAGGTCCTGGAGAAGTTGAATATTAATAGAACAATTTTTAATCATATCAGCCAAATCGAGAATGGTTGTTTTTGTTTCTTGCACAAGTTGATGAGAATGAAACTTTTTGGTACTGCCAGTCGCTCGTAAAATTATAATCCAGAAGTTAGCGGATCCAAGCAAAGATACTTTTGAACAAACATTTGAAGATTTCTTATGCAAACGTGACAAGATGTGAAATAAGATAGTTTCACAAAACCTAAACATATATAATTATACATTAACAAAATTAATACTATCCCGTACATATATATTTAGTTAATCACTTACTCATTTGGGATCTCTAAACTTTTACCAGTACAACCACAAATGCCTTGCATTTTCTTTAATAACTGTTCATCATAATCTAGATCCATTGATTCAATCTTTTCATAAATAACTTTTGTAAATACATGTTCTGCTTCTGGGCCAAATTTTACTACTTTATTTGTAACATTAAAGATTGATTGTACTGAGGACTTTCTTATGCAATTGAACGTTATCGTCATTAATTTGTCCAAGATGGATTTTTCCTTTACTACTGAACAGGTGTATGACAACTTCTCAAAAACTGCGGTTACGTATTCTTCTTTATGAGCTGTTGTGTGATCTGTACGATCGATAAACTTTTTATACCATTGAATACATATCTGTGCTATTTGATTATCAATATTTTTAGTCATTTCAATCCAATTTTTCAGGAATGATGAAAACGAGCGTAATAACTGATAATTTTCTAAAGTTGACACAGTTTCCAATATGACAATGTATTCATCTTTCGTCCAATGTAGACGCGCAGAATTTAAAAGATCAGACATCGATTTGGATTGAGAATCATCCAAGGTAGCAGAACGACGAACATTGATTAATAGTTGAAGTGCCCTTTTTCGAAATAGATTCGCGACTTTATCCCTAATGTCATCAGGAAGCTCGCTAAAAGTTTTATGCAAAACGAAGGGATCATCTTTAGATATAATTTTTTCAGACCTTTCTACCAAATATTGATCGTCCGTTTTATCTGAAGATTGCCAAACGATTGATAAAATTTTCATGTTTTTGCATTGACTCATCAACCACTAAATGGATAATACATATTAGTATAATTAGTTGATTAATAAATGCGATCAAAAAAAAAAAATAATAATAATAAATAAAATACCTTGATAATTTTTACACGATTATTTTCATCAAATTTACGCTTCAGTATATATTTGAAACAACCTTCGATATATTTGTTATCATTACATTTACTAAAAGTTATTTTGTCGACGAAATTATATTTATGATCGATAATTTGTGCGATGTTAAAGATTTTGAGCCATCCGAATAAAGCATTATTAATATTGTGATGAATCAGATGATCAATTCCTTTCAATACAATATGCCAACTATCGGTTGGAAATGTGTCTGATTGTACCACTAATAAAGCTTGAAGCAAAGGAGTTGATTGAAAATTTTTTGGAAATTCAAATCTTCCGCGAATATGTCCTAAAAGAAAGCATAAGAAAAGCTGTTTACCAACAAAATTTTCCGATGCATGTTTGATAATAAATTGAATATTCGTTACGGATGATGTTAATTTTCGATACTCTTTCAGGATACAATTATATTCCAGAATCATATCCTTAATGTTTTTTAAAGTAACGGAATAATAAATCACATCCAAGAACATATAATCAGTGATATGTTTAATACTATTGATTGAGTTATTTTTCCAAATATCAAATTTTTGACGTTGAATTTCTAGCACACGATTGTCATTTGGTCCTTCCCCTTCAAATTGCAAGCGATTGTCCGAAGACGACACCGCATACTTATATTCAACAGCGTTTGATTGAAATCTTTCGATCGGGATACGAATAGGCATTGAATACCAATAAGATTTATGCTCCGAATAATCATTTCTGTATTGAATGAGTTTAACCTTAGGTTCTTCCCAATTACCAAGCTCCTCTATATTACCAACTATAACAGGATTCTCGGAACGGAACGGTAAATGCACATGAAAAACGACTTGAACGGTTTTATCATCTGGAACATCTTCATATCCAATAAAATTTTTGATCATGTCAAAACTCTTCTTGAGAAAAGATTTATTCCGGGAGGATGATGAATCATTGTGAATATCAGCAAGACTGTTATTATTTTGTGAAATGGTTTGTGATGTAGAACCGCGTCGATTTTCTGAATCTTCAGATTCATTTACTAATTTTGCCTTTTTAACCACTTCTCGTGGCTCAAGATCATGTTCACGCATCCTAACATCTTTTGATTTAGGCTGAATCGAAACAGTTGAAAGCTGTCCAAAATTTTTTAATAATTTCACTTTTTTAGCATTTTTTTGTTCTCTTTCTAGTTCATTTTCACGCATTCTAACTTTTGATTTAGTCTGAATCGGATCTGTTTCCGTTTCAGTGAGGTAACGTTCTTTATTAGATTCCTTGTTGGTGACGCGTTCATTTGAATCATGAGCGATATGATATTGCTCTTTGGTAGAGAATTTATTATTGCCCTTCTTCTGAACAGTTGGTTCTTCAAGGTTGCAAGTTGAACGGTCATTATTCACTAAAGTAACGTTACTATCAACGGAGGTTGGAGTAAATTTATTATCTATTTTTTTGCTTTTATTCTGAACTGGAGGAACTGGTTCCACGGGATCGTCGTTATCATTCATATTGGATGAGGTAGCAAGCTTTGATGTTAACAAATTATTTTTATAAATTTAAATAAGAGTTCGGATTTGCCAGCGCGGTAAAACCTTCGTTTTTATCCATTGTGATTAGAAATTGATTGATGGGAAAATTATATAGTATGCGTAATAACTAGTTTTGTTACAGGTAAATTGGTCGATCGAATATTCTAAAAAGGTAATGTTTATCAAGTACCACAAAAAACCTCATTTTCTCATTATATTGTTTTTCTTCACGCGATTATATATTATATAATACTTAAAAATGTTATTTACCAAATTACATAAATTACATAAATTACATAAATTGAGGGAAATTCCAATGACAACGACGTAACATTTACGTCTCTAAATGCTGAAATAAACATCCGGCACCGAAATTGATTAAACTACCCCCAAAAGAAAATTTGTAAAAAACCCGGGTAGCATACATAGGTGATTTTTAATTTTAACCGGATTTAATAAAATTTTTAAGTAAAACATCAAAAAAATTCATAGTTATTTTAAATTTATTACCTTCAAAACAAATTAAACAAAATTAAGACTACTCTTATTATTATATTCAATTTCATTGCCTTCATTATTGTTATTCCATCCATTTCATCTAATAATTCATTTTCTTGATTTTCATCCAATATTGTTATAATCAAAGATCGTATCATCTTTTTAACCATCAGATTTAACTGAAATACTGCAACATTAAATGATTTTCAAAATTAAAATTGGTTAACCAAAGAATATGGTTTTATAATACATTCAACTGGAGTTAGATTATGAACTTCCAATCATTATAAAGTTTGTGAATCTATTAGAATCTATTAAAAAAAATTTTCAATAATTGATAAATAATGTTTACATTAGATTCTGTTAACTGTAACATAAAGAGGGAGGTTGCAATTTGGATATTAGCCTTTTAGGAATACTGCTATATTAATATGAATCTCATCTAATTTTATTTGAATAAATTAACTAAATGATCACAAAAAGAATCTAAAACATAAAAAGATTTGAGATCTTTTGAACTAAATATTATTAATCTACCAGTTCATTTTCTCTTTAATTTCCCAGCCTTTTTTGTTAATTCAAATGAATACATACATCAGAAAACTTTTCTTTACATTTATTTTTCAATTTAAAAATAATAACAGATAGTAATTTTAAACCAGCCATACAATTTAATATTACTTCTTTTATGTCCTATAGTTTTAATATTAATAGTATTATAATCACATGTTTCTAAAGTATAAAAACTAAGGAATTAGATGTTACATTTATATTTGCAATATAATGCCTTTGTAATAGAAAAGGAAAAACTACTTAGAAAAATAATTTTACTTTTATATGCTAAATATGATTTTCAGGTCAAAATATATTCAAATTTAACATTAACTCATTTTTTATTTTTTTAGCAGTTTTCCAACTTTCTATTGTAAATGCCTATTTATTTAAGGGAATTATCATATTGTATTCTTCTATAAAGAAAAAACTTAAAAAACTCTGTTGTTTTTCAAATAAATTCTTTGCTAAATATTAAGATATAGTTTTTCTTTAAATATTTAAAAAGTTATAATAGACTATAAAGTAATCTATCCACTTTTTTGAGAATTTAAATAAAGAAATTATAGAATATATATTCTGAAATTTCTCAGTTATAAGAATTCTTTGGCTTTTTTTGATATATTTTTAGTAATTAGTAAATATTATTCATAATAACTAGTAATCAATTCTGCTAATTCTTATTTTAAATCTAGAAATAATAGTTGTTTACTATTATATAACTTAAGTAAGTAAGTAGTTAAAGATAAAGATTTCAATTGATCTTTTTTTTCTTCAATTCTAAACTTGACTTAATTTTATATTAAAATATCATACTGTTATATAAACATTGTTTGAATATTGTAAATATTATAAGATTATTAACTATTTACATACATTTTATTAACTTTTTTAAAGTAATTTAATCATATGTTTAACAAAATCAGCTTAAGTTATAAAACTCAATAGTTATTTATTACATTATACATTATTTTAATATTAAGATATTTCAGTTGTATAATTTTAGTTAAACTTAAAATTAAGGCATAAAAATTACAACAAATCAATTATCTTCATTAATCCAAATCAGTTAAGCTGATTTTTGTAAAAATTATAATAACATTCCAATTAAATAAGAGTAATTATCACAAATAAATAATAGAAATGATCTTAAAGAAATAATAATTGTCTTTAAGAGATTATAAAAATTGATAAAGAAATGATATAATCATTTTCAATGAAGTTATACAATCTTAAAAGACAATAAAAATTATTACTAAAGAAATGATATAATTATTCTAAAGAAATAATAAAATTTTTTCAAAAAAATAATATAATCATTTTAAACAAAAATGATAAAAATTATTCTAATAATAGAAATTATCTTTAAAGAAATAGTATAATTATTTTCAAAGAAGTGATAAAAATTATTCTAAAAAAATCATATATCATCATTTTAAAAGAATAATATTTATATCATTTTTTTTAAAAATATTAAATATTTATAAAAAGAATATTTTTTATTAGTTAATGAATATTAAAAAAAAGTTTATAATTAGAAAAATTATAAAAAGATTTTAGTAACAAAACTAAAAAATAGTTATTTTTTTTTGATAAAGCATTAGCTTTTCTTTATGATAGTAATTATATTTATATATAATATTAAGCTTAAACAATATGTCATTAAGTTAACAGAATAAATTTACTAATAAGAAGTTTAATTATATTTAAACTATAAAAGAAATAAAAGAAATAAACACAAATTAATTAAATTAAAGGTTCAAGTCATTTTATTGATATAGATTTAAAGAAGAATGAATTATTAATGAACAAAGTAAGTTTTTAAAAATAAATGTTATTAATTTATTTAATTTATAAAGATTTATATCAATTCTCCCCTTTTATTAAAATAAGAATACAGAATATTATATAAAATATAAATATAAAATAAATAATAAAAAAAAATAAATAAATATAAGAAATTAAATATATTAAAGAAATGTATAAAATTATAGATTGCTAAAAAATTATAGAAATTAGAGAGAAATTAAAGAAACTATAAAATTAAAACTCATAATCATTGGGATTATATATGAATTTAAATGTAATTATTTCTAATATCTGAAATGGTTGAAATAATCGAAATCAATTTCTTTTAATGTGATTCTGCCAATAACTTTATTTAGTTTTATGAAAAGTAAGTACAAATGTAAAAACAAAAAACTAATTTAAAAGTACAGCTATTTCTGTAGTTATATTATAAACCCATTTAAATTGACCTATTATTGTCTTTTTCCTTCAACAGATCCACTAAATACATATTTAATGACTACTGAAATTATAAAAAAAAGGTTAAAATTATTTGATTATTAGAGACTAAAGTCACGAAATAGTCAAAATAATATTATATCACATGATTTTTATATTAAAAAAAACCTAAAAATAAAAAATGTACGATCTTGATCAATACAACTCTGTTTCATATGAAACAACTACCATTTAATTTCTCATAACTAGTCAAATCCAATGAGTTAACATTTATTGATTTTAGATTATCCAATTACAAGATAATCGCAATTATATTATCAGCTAAAATTATAAATCAATAAATTTATTTCTATATGAAAAATCATATGATATTATATAATTTTGACCATTTCAACTTTTTATTTCGACTTTGACCTCAAAAGTCAAAACATTTTGACATTTAGGTTTTCATTTTGACTTTATATATAGTTAGGATTACAATTAGTTAATTTATTTGATGCAGTATCATGCATTATAATTAGATTATTACTAACAATAATAATATTATTTTTTTTAAATTAATTTTTAATTAATAACTTTAAATAATTTTTATATTTTAACTAATAAAATAGAACAGACTTATAATTTAAAGCAATTCACAAATACTAATAGATCTTTAGTAATACTCTTTTAGTATACTAACTCTTTAATTGCTAGTCTTATAACTTTAGAATTCTTATTTATTAAAATACAATTATTAATAAATTTTTTTTTAATTTAAAGATATGTTATGATATGTTATGAATATTAAAGATAGATTCACAACTATTAAGTTGCAATCAGTTGCAAAATCTTAATATAAAAATTTATATATAAATATCTGCAACTTTTTAGGTTATAACATGAGTTTTAATCAGTTGCAGATTTTTTAAATCAGTTCTAATTGGAGCTCTAAAATGGTTGGGTTAGGTTGGGTAATTGATTTGACCTAACTATAAGATCAGATTAAGTCAAACATAAAATTGATCTGAATTAAATATACATTTGATATGATTTGACCTGACCTGACTTATCTAAAAAAGAAAACTAAATAATTATTAATTTTATTTAATATTTTTTTAAAAAATATAAAAAAATATTGATAAATTTTAACATTTAATTATTTTTCAAAAAAAAAGATACTAATATAATTATTTTAACTGCAAAATTTAAAATTACAAGTTGTGATAAATCTATAAATCAGGTGACTGCTAATATAATTATGAAAAAACATTTATAACTTTACAACTATTAATTCAATTATAATAAAATTTATATACACATATTTTTGAATCTGTTGAACAACTTTACTTAAGCAATCAAAATTAATTTCCTTTGACCAAAATACTTAAATTGCCCTTTAAAGTCACTGTACAAATAAAAAATAAAAATAAAAAAAATTTATAAGATAATACAATTATGAAAAACATGCATAACTTTATAATCATTAATCCAATCATAATAAAATTTTATAAATATATATTTTTAATCCTGCTGTATAACTTTACTTACTGACCAAAGTAAATTTCCTTTAACCAAATACTTAAATTGCCTTTTGAAGTCACTATACAAATAAAAAATAAAATAAAAATATTTGTGAGATAATACCATTATGAAAAATGTATATAAATTTACAACTATTAATCTAATCATAATAAACATTT